TGAGTGAGTGAATGAATGAATGAGTGAATGAATGAGTGAGTGAATGAATGAGTGAGTGAATGAATGAATGAGTGAATGAATGAATGAATGAGTGAATGAATGAATAAGTGAATGAATGAGTGAGTGAATGAATGAGTGAGTGAGTGAATGAATGAATGAATGAATGAATGAATGAATGAATGAGTGAGTGAGTGAATGAGTGAATGAATGAAAGAAATACATATCTGCTTGGGGCAGGGGTCTCTTCTTGTGCCTGCTCACATGGAAATAGGGAGGAGGTATGGCAGCCTCTTTCCCTGGGCGCATAAATCTGCCCACCGGCACAGGACCACACTCCCTCCTCTGCCCTGGCGAGGGAGCTGCCCACCTGGGGTCTGGTCCTGGGGGCCCGGCACGGTGGCAGGTGATGAGGGTGCTGTGGTGCTTGGCGCCCTTGGAGCGGTCCAGCTTGGCGGTCCAGAGCGCAGGCTGGGCTAGGCGGGCAGCTGTCACGTACAGCCCCTTCTTCACCTTGATCCTGGGAGAGAACGCCGTCCAGGATGTCAACGTGGGTGCAGAGGGACGAGGCAGGTCGCTAAAGCCACCAGCCTCCTGCCTGCCCTTCTGGCTCCAGTCTGCATCTCCTCCTAGCCGAGCCCCGACCTAAGGACCCCATCTCTCTGGGGGTGTTGTAAGGTCACCCCATACAACTGTCTCTCCCCACTGGCGGCCCCCACCACACACAAGATCAAGTCTCAGCCTGGCATGCAAAGCCCTCCGGGGTCTGGTCCAGGTGTATCTTCGACAGCGACAACTTGCTCTTGCTTCGGCGACCCTCACATTCAGGCCGCTCTGCCTCCAGGCTCCGCCCGGTGCCTGTCTGCTCTGCCCTCGCTTTCGTGAGCTGCTCATCCGTCAAGGGGCTTGAGCACCACACCCTGGAGAAAACTCTTCCCACGACAGAAAGAATTCCCTCTACCTGCCCCCTAACCCGATTCCTTGCATCACGTCATCATCCCTCTCCCTTCCCTTCCCGGGGAGCCCCTCCCTGCCAGGTGGGGACAGGACCTGGCTCATCTCTGCAGCTGCAGAGTGGAGACCCAGGGCTGGGCAGACCCTAAATGTCCAGGAGAGATGGAATGAGTGTGCGAGGATGTGTAGGGGGACGCCAGAGACAGGGAGAAGGGGCCCGCAGGGAGGGGTGCACATAGGCCTCACTGCGGAGCGCAGGTCACTCCACCAAGGGCTGGGTAGGGGAAGGGGCTGCTCTGGGGGGCCTTCCTGCAGAAGGGGCCAGGAAGAGGGGGGCCTTCCTGCGGGGGGGGGGGCCTTCCTGCGGGGAGGAGCCGGCTTAGTCCAGAGGCTAGGTGCCCTGGTGAGGATGGCAGTACGCAGACATACTGCGACGGGGCCAGTCCCTCTCCTGGGGCATCAGAGTGCCAACCTACTCCGCGCACTGTGCTTGCTGCTTTCCAAGCCCTTTCCTGCGTCTGCTCCCCGGAGCCTATGAAAGTGGGCGGCCTTAGCCCCAATGGGTCAAGGAGCCCCTAGGAGGTGCTGGGGAGAGGGGGCTTCCTACTTCTGACTTCAAGCTCAGGGCCAGGCCCATTGCTGGGTCCTGCCTGCTGCCAGGGGAATCACAGTGCTTGGCTGGAGGGGGTTAGGTGGGCATGCTGTAGAGATGTCAAGGGTCCAGCGAGGACCCCCTAGGGAGTAGTCACCCGCCCGTCTCCCTGCAGATCCCGCCCCAGCCCCCTCCGACCCGCCCGGCTCAGGGCCCAGGCTCACCTCAGCGTCAGGAGGCTGGCTGTGAAGTTGTGCCGAAGCAGGAGGGTGGCAGTGAAGAGCTGGCTGGGCCGCACGGGCGCATCAGGCACCCGCAGAGTCACCGCCTCATCCAGGGGCACCTCTTGGTACTGTGGGGGCTCTGCCGGCCGGAGCTCCACGCTGCCCACCGGGAGGGCCTGTTCCGAGGGGTCCTCCTCACCAGGGCCACAGCCCCCCGGGCCCTCGGCGGCAGGCTCCAGCGTGTAGGCCAGCTCAGCGCGCGTGGCGGGACCCTGGGCAAACCAGTGCGGGGGGATCTCCAGCTCTACCACGCAGGCCCCCAGCGACGTCTGCAAAGACACCACGGTCAGCAGGCTCATGAAATGTCCTGGTGATACGTCATCTGGACACGTGGGGCTGGCTCAGAAGTGTCCAGCGACACTCCCTGCCCTGGGGATGGTCTCAGGCCCCCACACCACGCCAGGGCCCCTGACTAGAATTCAGTCTTCACTAAATCCCAAGGCCAGCAAAATGCTTCTCCCCAGCCAATACCTGTGCTAGACCCCAAATGGTGGAAACTGCAATTTCTGGGTGAAGCCTCCAGCACCGAGCCAGACACCAACACTGCTCTGGTGGGGCAAGGTGCTGAAAGCTATTCTCGCACACCCCCTTACTCTGCACCCCAGAGCTCTCTGTCTCGCCCACTTGACAGAGGAGGAGGTCGAGCCTCAGAGACATTAAGTGGCCGCCCAGTCACATCAACGGGCGCAATTCTCTCGGGGGTCTAAATACCCTTTCACAGGGCCCCGTGCAAGCCAACACTCGCTCCAGGCATGGAGTCCAGCGGCCAGCAGTCCCCAAACTTCCCAGATGTGGCATGCCCTCCCCTCCCGGGGCAGCCCCGGAGCCAGGCTGGTGGGGCCCTACCTGGAAGCGGCAGGCGCGGTGAGCGGTGCCTGCGGGGTGTGTGGCGTGGAGCCGAGCACAGGGCAGGCTGCCAGGCCCTGGCGGCCAGTCCTGCCCTTTAAGGTGAAAAAGGACGCGGGCGTGAGGCTCCACCGGAGTCACCGCTGCTTCCACTGACACGGCCCGCACGTCCCAGGGCACGGGCCGTTGGTGGGGCTCCGTGACCCGAGGAGGGACCACCTGGAGGGAGAATGGGGCGGTCAACTCCGTGGGGGCTGGAAGCAAGGTCTGGGGCTCCCGCGGGGAGTGTTCATGGGCCTCGGTTTCCCTCTGGAAAACTGGGAACGAAGCTGGGGTCGGGCTGGCCCTGGAGCCAGCAGCCCGGGGCTCTGAGTCCCTCCTTACCTGTTGCGTGGCAAAGGGCGGGTAGGAAGCCCGGAGCAGCGGCTGGGCCCTGGGCCAAGGCTGCAGGAGCAGAAAGGTCTCGGACCGGGAGCCCAGGGAGGAGTTGGCAGGTGGGTAGCGGCCCACCTGCTGCACCCGGAAGTGCTCAGGGGCATCCAGGAGCTCCAGGGACGCTGGCAGGTAGAGAGAGTCCAGGGGGTCCTGGTCACAGGCCACTGACGAGGGCAAGGGGCAGAGACGGTGACAGCGTCAGAGCTGGGCGGGCAGACGTGAGGTCTGACCCACGCACGCAGGTGCTGAGCATCGGGGAGACAAGGGATGTGCAAGTCCCATCCCCCTAGGATGTGGGGGATCACCCCATTTCACGACGAGGGGCCACAGGCCTTGCACAGGTAATGCTGATGCAGGCGCATGAGTCAGAGCCCAGGCCAGTACAGTGTCCACGCTGCCCTTCTACCTTCCGCAGACCCGGGTCTTCCTTGCTGGGCAGAACCTCCCCAAAGCCTCCTCCACTCGCCTCTTGCCCCCGCCCCGCTGCTTCTGACACCCAGGCCTCTGTGGGGCACAGCTCTCCCCAGGCAAGACTCATCTGGTAACGACAGTGATGGGGTGAGCTCCGAGAAAGGAGAGACCCTTTCTGTGGCCCTGGTCCTTGAGCAGGTTGGTGGACATCCACGCTCCCACCCCTCATCACCATGGCAACCTCAAGAGTCCCCAAACTAGCTCCCTTCTTCCCTGGCTGCTGGAGCACAGGAGTGGGATGGGAGGAGGCAGCGTGCGGAGATAACACAGTGAGCATTTAGAAGGCAAAGGAGCGCTAAGGCATATTTCCTTTATATCAATGGACTATTAATTATCTCTAACAGTACTAAATAACATTTCTTGAATAAACATTTAAAAATACATAAATAGGCCCTCCCTGGTGGCGCAGAGGGTTAAAGCACAGCACTAAGAAGCTAAAGCCACTTCTGCATGAGTTCGATTCCCGCCTGCCCCGGAGGTGACCACATGGCGCAGCAGACCTCTCCTGACCCGCCCGCTGCTCCCCTCAGCAGTGGACTTCGTCGATCTGCCTGTTCTGCTCCCCACTCTGTCTCTGGTGAAGCCTCTCACTGCCCCTGAGCCTCTGGCCTGTACCCCAGTTCTGTATGTACAAATAAAATAAATCTTTTTTAAAAAAATACATAAAGAACATTTTGAACACTGTGCAGGCACAGTTTTAAACATTTATTAATTCTTTCCGCCTTGAGAATAACTTTGAGCATTAGCGTCTCTATTACTAATGACCCCATTTTATGGATGTAGACAATGAGGTGGCGAGGGTCAGTCCTCGCCGGTGATCACAGCGGGACAGGGGTGGCGCTGGGAGTCAGAGCCAGGCAGTAGCCACCTGACCACCCTGCCCCTCCAGCCTCTGCCTCTCTCCCCACCCACGCTGCTGATGTCCTGTGCCCTTCAGCCCCGAGACCATGGGTCTCTCCTTCTCTGCCCAGTGGCATCTCTCTCCTCCTTCAGGGCCAAGTGAAGGGCGCCTCCTTAAGGAAGCCCTCCCTGATTGCTTGTCCTCCCATCAGTCCGGTTGCAGCCCTGGTTTCTGCCTCAGAATCCCTTTTCAGTCCTCCAGCCAGGGGCCTTGTCTAACCCATGCTGGAATCCCCCAAGCTGGACAGCTCTCCCTAGTGTTCTGGGAGCCTGGAGACCCACTTTCTGTTGTCATGTTTCTGTTGTGAATGCCTCCATGAAATACGGCTCTGTCCAACATTGTGGAGCCTCTGTTTCCTTGCCCGGAGAGTGGGTCTTTAGCACCGCGGTGGACAGGGAGGGCTTTGGTGAAAGTGGAGTGATGTCAGAGGGGGCTTATGGCTTCTGCACAGTGGATCTGACCAGGCTTTCCTGTAGTTCCACGTCAGGGTTATTAGGAATTATGAGGGGTCCCTTAGGGAGGGGAGCAGGTGGCTGAAAGCAGCCCCAGAGCCAGCTTCCTCTCAGCCCCACTGCTGGGCTGGGGGACTTGATGGTTTCAATCTCTTTGGAGACCCTCCCTGCCCAGAAGCCTGTCTCTGAGACCTTCCCCCTCCCCCCCCAGTGTAACAGGTGAGTGACTCGGGCTCCCAGGGGGCAGCCCCTGGCCTCCAGGCCTCCTACTCCATTGCCTCCATAATTACAAGATGCTCTGTGGCCTGACTCCCACGGGTAGCTGTCACCCTGCACTAGTCTCCCTGTCAGATGGATGAAGGGGGTGGAAAATGCCCCACTATCACCCACTCTTCTGCGGGTCATCCACTTAGCAGCCAGAGTCATGCCAAGGGTCATTTCACCCCCACGCCCCCACTTGCCCCTCTGGTGAGGGGCTCCCCATAAGAGCTCAGGAGGGCACCAACTAGACTCCAAGGTCAGACAGCTCCTTAGGGCAAGTCTCAGGCAAGGGGCTGCGCCCATTCTTGTGGGGGGTAGGTAGTGATGGAAGGAGGGGGTAGGAGCCGGGGTGCACCTGGGGGGTAGGTTGTGATGGAAGGGGTGCACCTGGGGGGTAGGTTGTGATGGAAGGAGGGGTAGGAGCCGGGGTGCACCTCTGAAGAGGCGGATGAGGGAGCTGGTGCGCCGGGACAGGGAGTAGCTGGGTTAGATGCCCACTGGAGGGAAGGCTGGCAGGGGTGCGGGAGCCCGCGCGGTGGTGAGTGGACGCGGTGGGCACCGTGAGAGCCGGGGCACTTGGCTGTGCCTGAGCTGGGAAGGAGCAGTCGGTGTTGCAAGCTGAGGGAAGCCACAGAGACGCGGCGCCGCCGCCGCCGCCGGGGGCGGGATCCCGGAGGCGAGACCTCGCCAGCCCTCGGGGCGGCCGCAGGGAGACCCCGGCCGAGCTCGAAGGGGGCGTTCGAAGGCTCCCGGCTCCCGGACCACGCTCGCGCCGGCCTCGCCCCGCGCCCAGGAGCCCCTCGTCCCGCCCCGTCCCTCTCGCTGACCTCTCACGACGTCCAGGGCGAGGGCCACCAGGAGGCAGAGCCCGGAGCGGCCGGGCCCCCCGGGAGCTGCAGCCGCGCGCCCCGCCATCCGGCCGCACG